GGTAAACCCTGAAATCACAATGCAACAGCAGAGAAATCTGTGAGATTTCCCTGTTTCCACCTTGTCAGCTAGAAGTGTCCCACCAGTGGCTTTGCATCAGTGGGTGGGTGACCAGCAAATCCCCAGAGCCATGTCCCACCCTGAGCATCAGCCCCAGGCTGCTCTGGCAATGCTGAGCCTCCTGTGCTGTGAGCTGGGAAGTGGCCCAGACCCCACACTGATCCCATCTGTGCCGCAGTGAGGAGAGCTACACGGTCATGAACTACGCCACGCTGGACCAGGTCACCGTGGAGAAGGTGGAGAGCTCAGAGCCGCCCTCCCCTCCTCCTGGCAAGGCTGGTGGGCACCTGCTGCGAGTGGTGCTGGAGAAGGACAGCGAGGGCCGGCGGGAGGAGGTGGTGCTGTCAGCAGAGACCCTGTGAGTGCCACGCTGGGCTTTTGGGATGAACTGGGAACCCCACACTGGGATTGTGCTCTGGCCCTTGGAATGAGCTGGGAATCCTCTGAGCATCTGTGACAGTGTTCACAGGGGTCCGAGGATGAGGGAAGAGACGAGGATCTGTCTCCATGTTTCAGAAGGCTTGATTTATTATTTTATCATATATATCACATTCATACTATACTAAAAGAATAGAAGATAGGATTTCATCAGAAGGCTAGCTAAGAATAGAAAAAGAAGGAATGATAACAAAAGCTGACTGTGATTGGCCATCAATTAGAAGCAACCACATGAGACCAATCACAGATGCACCTGTTGCATTCCACAGCAGCAGATAGCCATTGTTTACATTTTGTTCCTGAGGCCTCTCAGCTTCTCAGGAGGAAAAATCCTAAGGAAAGGATTTTTCAGAAAATATCATGGCTACAGGCTTCTGCAGATCTCCCTTCATCCCCACACTCCTCCTCCTAGAAATTGGGATGTGCACAGCCTTCTCCCAGGCTCTGTTCCTTCCTCTCTCCTATATTTCCCATACAATTCCCATATCAGCTTCCCCTGTCCAAGTGAAGCAAAGCAGCCAGGCCGTGTGTGCCACTTGGGAAGTGTCCTGACATTGAATAATCTGATCAATCTGACTTCTCTGGGAAGCATTTATCCTGCTGGGAATGTCCCAGCTGCTGCTGGCCACAGGATGCTGTGCTTAAGGAGCTTAAATCCACAGGGATGGTGTCCTAAGGCTCTCTTTGTGTTTCCCTCTGGCAGGAGTGACCGAGCTCGGTGGATTGCAGCTCTGATGCACAGGGAGAAGGAACAGCCTGACACCACTCCCAAAGGAGGTACCGTGTGCCCAAGGGCAGCCTGGCTCTGCTGGGATTCCCTGGCACACCAGAACATTTGCAGGCCCAGGTTTCTGCCTGTTTCTCCTCCATTCCTGGAGTGGAGAGGAAAGCCCCACACTGTGACCGTGTTCACAGGGGTCCAAGGATGAGGGAAGAGACGAGGATCTGACTCCATGTTTCAGAAGGCTTGATTTATTATTTTATTATATATATTACATTAAAACTATACTAAAAGAATAGAAGATAGGATTTCATCAGAAGGCTGGCTAAGAATAGAAAAAGAAAGAATGATAACAAAGGCTTGTGGCTCGGACTGTCTGTGATTGGCCATTAATTAGAAACAACCACATGAGACCAATCACAGATCCACCTGTTGCATTCCACAGCAGAAGATAATCAATGTTTACATTTTGTTTCTGAAGCCTCTCAGCTTCTCAAGAGAAAAAATCCTAAAGAAAGGATTTTTCATAAAAGATGTCTGTGACACCACGCCTTGCTCCTTAGGAGTTGCCTCCCATGAAGTTATCAGTCACAATTGACCTTAAATGCATTTCCTGGGAGGCACAGTGGAATTCCAGGAATGCCTTCAGCTGTTGTTAGAGGAGGTTTGACAAGCTTGGAGGGATAAGGGGCAGGGACAGGAGGAAATGGAGCATGCTGTGCTGTGGAGCACTGGGTGGGGGGTCATGGCCTCTGCTCACTGTCCCTGCTGTCCCCTGTCCTGCAGACCTGAGCCAGGTGGAGATCACCCGTGCCTACCTGGCCAAGGAGGCGGATGAGCTGTCCCTGCAGCAGGCAGATGTTGTCCTGGTGCTGGGGGAAGAGGATGGTGAGTGCCAGGGGGCGTGGGGCTGGGTGTGGGGCGGGCTCTGACCTCAACAGAGCTGGGGCAGGGAGAACCTTCAGTGATCCCTGGGGACTGGGTTTTAGCAATTGCAGAAGCTTCTAGGCTGCTGGTGAGAGCTGTGGCACTGACTGGTGCTGTGTCCCAGCAGGTGACAGTGGCTCCTGGGGGGCTGAGGGAGGTGGCACTGCCAAGGATCTGTGGCCCTTCCTGGCCCTGTCAGAGCTCTGTTCTCTCCTAAGCTATTCTGGGGGGATCAGCTGCAGGATGGGGAGCAGGGCTGGTTTCCCCCAGGATCTGTGGCCCTTTCTGGCTCTGTCACCTGCTCTGTTCTCTCCTAGGCTGGTGGTGGGGGGAGTGGGGCTGGTTTCCCTGTGTTCCATGGCCTTTCCCGGGGGACTGGTTCCCCCAGCTTCCATGGCTGGTGCTGGGGG